AAAATCTTCAAGGATATACCTATAAGTACGTAAGCATCTTCCGGCCAATCTTCTGGGGGATTTTCTCGACACTTCCTAATAGCTTCGCATAAAGGAACAACGATGCCAAACGGTAAAGATTCAATGTCCTTACTTGTAAATCCAAACTTCACCATTTCAAAAATCGTTGCATTTTCTCCCTCACGAACTAATTTAGTATAGATCGAACATATTTGTCGCATTCTTTTGCAACAATCAAGATTCTGAACTAAGATATTCTCTCTTATTGGAATGGAGAAAATTCGACTTATGTCCATGGGATTTGGAAAAGGTTTAATCTGATCAACATTACTTCGAAAACACTTCAAAATCCATTGAGTTATATCAGGAGGTGAAAAGAAAGGATGATCGGAATTTAACGTTGTGCTCATAAGAACGTCTGAAGTTTAATAATTAAAAGATTAGTTCGACACGTAAATAATGATTGAACTAATTATGATAATCTTATACTAACCTTCCTTGATAGATAATTTTTTATCTAATCCATAATTTATCCTATAATATTCAACATAAATTTTCCAATCCAGAAATGTTGATAATTGAATCAACAATGGTAAAATATCATCAACGTATTTTTGCGTTAAAGTATGTAATTTTAGATCTTGATAAACAAGGTGAAAGGATAGGAGTATAGCAGGTAGAAAATTTAAAAATCTTTGGTCGGATTGATTCTTGGCAAAAAACGTCCCCCTAGATTTTTCACACATTTTAATTATAGAATCATCATCGATTGTCGGTAATTGTTCCGGTATCGGACGAATACATTGTAAATGAGAATTGAAATTAAATTTCGTATGATGTGAAGATGAAAGTAAAAAATCCCATCCTTCAATTTCTTCTGCCTTGATGCCTTCATTAGATTTCACAGAAAAAGGAAAGAATGATAAGAGAGATATAACAAAATTTTCCCACTCATTCCTTCTAGATGCTGATTTCACATCATTATCTTTCGTGTATTGATAACAAAGATATCGTGCTTTAAAGTTATAATATAACTCTACTGGTAATGCATAACTTAATATCTCCAGACACTTTCGAACGAGATTAGACCTCGGAACAAAATTCAAGTCCACCCTAAGTAATGCGTGATTTTGAAAAGCAAAATTTACACGATGACGAACGCGATCTTTCAAATCGCAAACATTTGAATTTAATGGTTTCAAACTTGATATGGTTTTATCCGTTACTAGATACTTATCGATTAATTGATGATGAAAGGTTGACAAAGGGAAAGATTC